AAAAAAAAAAAAAAAAAAATTAAAAAGAAAGAATGAGCTCAATATATTGGGAACCACTCTGTATCAGTCATTGTAGCACATGTATGGGGGTTAGTCGGGAATGAAACCAAGATAAGGAGTTAAATTTTATCCATCGTACAAGGGGAATTGCTTCTTGGTCTTTGGGCTAAGATCGAGTGTACATACAAGGGGAAGATGATGATGATGCGGGATTTAAACGTAGGTGAATAATACCCTTTTTTTTCTAGAGACAGAGTCTTACTTGGTCGCCCTCAGTAGAGTCCTGTCTGTCCTAGCTCACAGGAACCTCAGACTCTTGGAGTGAAGCCATTCTCTCGCCTTAGCCTCCCAAATAGCTGGGAGTACAGGCACCCACCACAATGCTGGGCTTTTTTTTTTTTTTTCAGACAGATTCTCATTTTGTCACCCTCTGATAGACTGCTGTGGTGTCATAGCTCACAGAAATCTCAGACACTTGGGCTTAGTGATTCTCTTGCCTCAGCCTCCCAGGTAGTTGGGACTATAGGCTCCCACCACAATGCTGGGCTACTTTTTAGAGAGGGGAGTCCCACTGTGGCTTAGGGTGGTCTCGAACTTGTGAGCTTAGATGATCTGTCTGCCTTGGTTTTCCAGTGATGGGATTACAGGTGTGAGCTACTGCACTCTCTACCTCTTAGCTGCTGACATTTAACAGCCTCCTGTTTCTTTCACTTCATTGATTAAGCATCTTGGTACCTCAGTAGTCAGTTTCCTCAGATGTGAGGCCTGTCCTCAGAAATGTGGACCCTGTGATCAAGGCTCCCTCACTAACTCCCTTTGATTGTCCCAGTTAATTCAGCTCTCACTGTTTTTATGATGTCTGACAATGATCACTTTGGACACTTTCTGCCTAAATGTCAAGTGTTTTAAAACCCTCATCATCCTTCTCTGCATCCTTTAATTTTGTAAAATATAAGCTAAAGAATCCTTTTGTTGGGCGTTATTCCACTGTCATTGACATAATTTGCAGAACTTTCTGTTCTTGGTTTTTTTTTTTTTTTCTTGAGACAGATCCTCAAGCTGTCGCCTTGGGTAGAGTGCTGTGGCATCACAGCTCACAGCAACCTCCAACTCCTGGGCTCAAGCAATTCTCTTGCCTCCACCTCCCAAGTAACTGGGACTACAGGTGCCTGCCACAACGCCCAGCTATTTTTTGGTTGCAGCCGTCGTTGTTTGGCAGGCCTGGGCTGGATTTGAACCCGCCAGCTCAGGTGTATGTTGCTGACGCCTTAGCCACTTGCGCTATAGGCGCTGAGCCATTGTTTTTGTTTTTATTCACCTAACATTGATCTCACATCTTCAGGAATCACAGTCAACTATGAAAGTAACTTTCAGTTAAATACTCAGTAAGCCCAGACTGAGACTGTGTCGACTATGTTGCAGGCTGTGTTTTTTATAAGCCAAATTTGATCACGTGGATGGAACAAGGGAGAATGCTATTAATCAGAGCTCAGGAATGCCTCGAGAAAAGACTGACAATTAGCTCTTCTGATGAACAGTTGGACTTGAATAACACTGGAAAGGCACTGTGTTGTGGTGAGTAGGATGGTTTTAAGGACATCAATCATTTAATTTTCCTACCTTTATTTCCTGTATTTTTCTTTTTAGATAGTTAACTAGACCTTGTTCTTTTTTTTTTTTTTTTATAGAGACAGAATCTTACTTTATCACCCTCGGTAAAGTGCCGTGGCCTTACAGCTTATAGCAACCTCTAACTCCTGGGCTTAAGTGATTCTCTTGCCTCAGCTTCCTGAGTAGCTGGGACTACAGGTGCCTGCCACAACACCTGGCTAGAGAATTTCTTGTAAAAGAGCAAGGAATCTATTCATTAAAGCCTTGAGGAAAAAACTACCTACCTGTCACACCATGGAGTCCATTTGAATTTTTTGTTGATTTGTTGGTTTTTATTTTTTATTATTATTATTTTGAGACAGAGTCTCACTGTGTTGCCCTTAGTAGAGTGCTATGGGGTGTCAGAGCTCACAGCAACTTCCAACTCTTGGGCTTAAGCAATTTTCTTGCCTCAGCCTCCCAAGTAGCTGGGACTACAGGCACAGCCACAATGCCCAGCTATTTTTGGTTGTAGTTGTCATTGTTGTTTAGCAGGCCCAGACTAGGCTTGAACCCACCGGCCTTGGTGTATGTGGTTGGTGCCCTACTCACTGAGCTATGGGCACCGAGCCATGTCTGTTTGAATTTTAAAATATTAAAATCTTATGATGGAGGTGGCGCCTGTGGTTCAGTGAGTAAGGCGCCAGCCCTATATACCAAGGGTGGTGGGTTCAAACCCAGCCCTGGCCAAACTGCAACAACAACAACAAAATAGCCAGGCATTGTGGTGGGTGCCTTTAGTCCCAGCTACTCGGGAGGCTGAGGCAAGAGAATCACCTAAGCCCAAAAGCTGGAGGTTGCTGTGAGCTGTGATGGCACAGCACTCTACCAAGGGTGACAAAATGACACTCTGTCTCTAAAAAAACAAAAAAAAAAAA